CCCCTACTTGGAGCAGGCCACCAAGGTGGCTGTAGGAACACAGAACCCACCTTATGAGAACAGATTAAAAAGAATTGGCTTCTCCTGCTACAAAAAAAAAACCCAAACGACTAATAAGGAAAGTGATTCCTCGTTATGAATTCCTCTGAGAGGCAAATACTGTGGTGGGAGAAGAACTAGGAACATAATGCCTATGTAACAGTAAAGGGATATACATTTCTGTAGGGAACCAGAAGGTGAGATTTCCAGGTGGAACGTGGTGTATGGAAGAGACTGTAGAAAAACTGAAAAGGCGGGGGAGGGAGCATGAACTGCTATTTACCTGTCATCACGCTTGTTTGCACCAGGCTCATATTGCATTCCACTCGTACCACGCTGCACAGCTTCCAAGTCTTTCTCCCAGCCAAGCAGTTTTGCCTAAATGTCCAACCTGACCCTCCCAACCTGCAATTTCTGGCCACTCCTGCTTCTCTGTTGCCTGGCACTACTGAGGAGGATCCACCTCTGCCTGGAAAAGAGGCTTTTCTCATCCTCTCAGCAGGCTTTCTGCTGTGTTTGTCTGCTCTATCTGAGCTCTTTGCAAGACAGGAGATCCCAGGGAGCAGAGACTCCCGTGGGACCGTGATTTTTAATGGATGCCATTACACATGGCCACGGTCCCAGGAATGGGCTGCTCCATGCTTCAATTTCCACTTCTGGAAAACGGATGAATCCCAGCAGCATCCTCCAGCCCTGTCTTCACTGCACTGAGAGGCAGAGCCTGGGGACCACCCCAGTCCCCCCTGGCCCTGCTCCTTCCAGCGCCGTGCACATCCTCCTCAGGGACGAAGGTGGGAGTCAGAGTGGGTGGGCAGGGGCTTCCCTCGGGCTCCCTCCTTGCTTGTGCGGGTCCTCCATTGTCGCCCTGACAAAGGCAGCCCTGTTCCTCCCCACAACTACTCCTTGTCAGCATCCCTCAGCATTTCGGCCGCAGATTTCCTGCCCACTGGCAGCCTTTCAAGAGGCAGCCCGGGCGCAGAACGTGGATGGAAAGTGGATTAGTGGGGCAGGCTGGTGGAAGGTAGCTCCACGCTGCGGGGTGCAGGCAGGGACAGGTCCATGTGGTGGGGCTGCTCTCCAGAAACCTGATGAATAGGGTAGTGGTGTTCACAGAAGTGACCTGGCTGCTCCTCCCTGGAGTCCTCCACTCTGTATCTAAGCCCCCAAGGACCTGCTCTGAGTCCTAAGCACTGGTAAGGCCAAGCTCAAAACCACATAAGGAGCCAAGATCTGAAGCCAAACGAGGGTCTTCCATGGCTAAAGCTGGAGCCATGACCATTGGGCTCTCTCCATCATCCCCACCCAAACTGCATCGTGCTCTCGTTCCACGTTCGAGAAGCTGATGGAGCACGGGGAGGCTGTGCCTCCTTCCCTGGCTGCGCTGTGCCCAGTTCTGGTGCTGGCCCATTTGACGCTGACTCTGCACCGCACTTTATTTCAGGTGTGGATTGGCTGTGAGGCTCCAAGGCTGTGGAAACAGGGGTGAGCTGGGCAATGAGCCGGGTGATCCCCACGCTCAGGAGACATGTTCTTCCAGCTTCTTTTCACCTCCTCCCCAAGCAGTCCTGCTGAGAGACACCAAGGTGCTGGAGGGGCAGCGGCTGTCCCCGGCACTAATCCTGAGCACGATCTCGGGGACATCAGTCCCTGCAGCAATCGGTTTCACTTGTGGTTTCCCAGGCGAGAGGTGTTGAGGCCCTGCTCCTGCCTTGCCACGCTGCCAGGGACACTCTGTGTCTTGCCGGGATGGAGGAGGAAGGGGCCTGGATCCCCCCGATGCCGCGCTTTGCCTTTGGGGAAGCCTCTTGTGATGGTGCAGCAATCCCAGCAGTAAATACACACTTCACAGGGCCGCTAACGGGAACCATATGGCGGAGAGGGGCCTCTCGCCCTCCGCAGTCACGCTGCTTTCCTGTGCCGGAAACCTATCGGCTTTCGGAGAGGCCACCAGCCAGCGTGGGGCTGGGGCCCGCTGGGAGCAGGCTGGCTCGGCAGTGAAGGGGGAGAGGATCCCGGCACCCGTCCTGGCCGTGGAAAATGTCTGAATTTCCTTGAGGGGCCACCCTAGATGCCTCCCTCTCCCTCCATCTGCCCCCAGGGTCAGGCAGGAAGGTGAGAGGGGATGGGGGAGGCTGCTTGGTGAAAGCTCCATGACCGAGCAGCTTCTGGGATGAACGTTGTCTTCCTCACCAAAAACTGCTCCCCGGTTGGTGCTAGAAGACTGCAGCACCCCTCCAGCTGTTCTCACACGGCAGCGGGCACATGGCCCCTGCAGATGCCGGAAAAGCTCCAACCCCAAGGTCCCAAACATCAGCTTGCTGAGATCACAGCGAAGCCCCCAGAGCAGGACTGGCAGTTACGGTGACAAGGCCTCGCCTTGCTTTGTCAGAGATGCCCTCTGAGCTCCTCAAAAAATGAGCGAGCCCCTCCACGCGCTGGAGGGTTGCCCTAGCGAATGTGAAGGCTTCACAGCATCGATGTGGCAGCAGGTCCTTAAGGCAAGCCCGTGCCGCTGAGATTCCTCCACTCACGGAAGCTTGTGTTGATTGCCTTGGGCTCACACCCCATCCTGGGCAGACTGATGCCTCCTTGGAAGAGTGGTGACAGCAGCCGAGAGCCTCCTAGAAACCCTCATGTGGTTTCTAACTTGTGTTTCCCTTATTGCTTCAACAGCCCCTTCCCCTTTGAGATTTCTACTCTTGCCTCCTTTCTTTCGGCAGATGTTTAGCAACTTCTACTCACACGCCGGTAGGGCAGCTACACCGAGGGGACCTCGGGTTTGAGACTGAGGCCGTGAGAGCGTGGGCACGGGGCTGCAAGCAGGGTATGTACACGGAGGGGTGTTAAAAAGAGGGAGACCTGGAGGATGGGGCTGGATGGAGAATGTCAAGCCATGGGGTAGGATAAGCAGGACGGCATCGACAGGAACAGGTTTTGGGGGCAAGAGAAGCAAAGGAACAAGGAGTAGTTGGAAGGAGCCAGGGAGCATGTGCTGATGGCAAAAGGGGGATGACGGAGGGACTGGGGAAGCTGAAGGAAAGAAGGTGGCTGGGGCAGGGGAAGATGAGCTGTGGGAGAAGACAAAGGGAAGCTGGGGGTGGAGAAATCTTTGCAGCAACAGTAGTAGAGAAGGTGAAAAGCGGGTGAAAAGGGGGAGGGTTGTGCATCTGCAGTAGAGGCGTGCGTTGGGTAGGGACACCAGGTTTCCCGGGTATCTCGGGTTCTCCTTGGAGCCCGTGCTGGGCTGCAGGCACCGTACAGACCCCCGAGACGCACAAGGGAGGGTCCTGTCCCAGGGGCAGAGAGGGGCTGTGGGCCTGGGCTGCTCCTGACCCCCAGCACACGCCTGCGCGCTGCCGTCCACCCCGCTCGGCGAGCAGGAAATAACAAGCAAACCGCAGAGGAGACGGGAAATGATTTCGGTAAAATAGGAGCCGCATTTTTTAGGCGAGGCTGTGAAATGTTTGTGACAGGGGCCATCCAGCCCCCCGAGGGCTGCGAGGGTCAGCCTGGCTCACCCACCACTCCTCGGGACCTGGAGCAAAGATCTCTCAGGTCTGAAAGCAGCCGCTAATTTTGGATGCTTTGCTTTGGGCACAGCACAAGCCTGGTGTCAGCTGCTGGGTGTTGGGACTTTTTAGGTAGCTGAAGAGCCACCAAAACCCAGAATACGTTTGCAAACATCACTGTGAGGTTGGCATTGCAGAGCTAAACCCTGCCCCATGCCCTCCATGTGTCCTCCCCTGGGGCCTTCTCAAGATCTACCTTAGCCCTTGGGGCTGCAGGAAAGATTTTGGGGTGACATATGAGGATAAGAGGTTTCA